TCGAACAATAGCGTGCTGACATTTTCATAAGTTGGTTATTATTTCAGTGTCTCTTCGTAACATCGAAGTACAAGTAAGTATATTGACAAGTTTGTAATTGTTTCTTGTGAGTTGTGCTGATTAATACTTTCGTAGGTTTGACTCCAGGGTTTGGTATTGTTATAGTACTTCTGGTTTTGTGATAAACAGGATTAATTTTTTCATCAAGTTTCTTTTGGAAGTATTGCACGAATGCTGCGACAGTCTTCAACTTTGGCCGCTAAATATATTTACGTTTTCAACATCCGCGAAAACAGCTTTACCAATTTTTCATTTGTTTTTAAAAATATTTTGGACGATATTCCGATATGCATTGTGAGCAGATTAAACTAGCTCCTACAAATAGTGAAAAAGATGTGGTGTATCTGTACGTCGTCTTTTTGATAGTACCTTAATTCACAATATCATTGCAGATTAACTCATAATTAATATTTTCTATATAGAATTGTTTGTTTTTGTCTTTTATTGTAATTTAAATCCCATAAAGACCATTTTACCCATTTTAACAATGTAACGCCAGGCACGTGGTTTGATGTTGACATTTATTGAAGAACACTTCCTACTGTTGTACATGACTTACGTGCATTCTTTGTGAATGCTGATGGGCTGGAGTGATAAGCTAACAAAGTGCAGTATGGGTTTTTTTTATTTAGTAGTTTTTGGGAGGGCGTTATTAGAGTGCTGCACTGAGAGTTGGTAATGCGGCGAGTGGAAACGTCTGTTCGGCAGTCGTTGGGCAGCCCTGGGCGGTGGTGGGCCCGTCGCGCTTTCGCGACCCCTGTTGCCCCACTGCCGCGCCCCTCCGTCGCCTTCAATTGTCGCCTCCGCCTTCGCCACCGAATTCCATCACCAAACGTCTTGCCGTGTTCCATCAGTCTTCGTCGACGCTATCACGGTACGAAATCTTCTTTACCGAAGTTGTTCTCTACGCTCAATGATGCGCTGCGCGTTGTAGATAAGTTCTCATTGTTTCCTTACCGCAGATTTCTCAGTATCACAAGATATTTCCCTAGTCACGTCACGTCTCGTCGTGGCAGTCCCCAGTGCCCTTCAGACCCTCGTCGACCCCCCTTCCCTTTCCGTTCCCCTTCTCCCGCGCCCGCCCATCAATTGGCCTACTAATTGCGTTTCGCGCTGCCAATCACCTTTTGCGCCTCGAAGGCATTGGCCGATTTTCGAAATTCACAGAGGTGAAATTTCTGACATTGTGATGTTGACACGTGTCAGGCAGCCATCCCGAGTCACACTACTGTGTATATTTACTCTTCCATCATCGTGTTTTACATTGGAAGCGATGTGAAAGTGTTATTTTGTTGCATTTGAATTGTTGCATTTTTGTTGTGAAAGATATTGTTAACTTTCTTTACTTGGTTTTATGCATTTGTATTTTTCTGGTAATGCTAGCAGTCGCTACCTCGTTCAACCGCGAGTAATGATTGCTTTCACTGCTCGTACTATAATGTAATTTCTCCAACTTTCCATATTTTTCGTTACATTTCATACTGTGGTAACAATTCATTTTCAATTTGAAGTATCTTACCTAGAACTTGCCTTTTTAAAATTGTAGTTGACATTATTTATAATGAACCTGTTTGCTTGTAGATGTGTTAAGTGCTTACCGGGAATATATCGTACTAAAGCTATAGCAACTCCTCCTAATGTATGTATTATTGATTCATCGATCTGTGCTCTCTACAGTGGAACGAAAAGTCTGATGCTTATTATAAATACAAGTTTAATAGTCAATTATGTATCATGAATATGGCTTTTTATTGGCATTTCTGTCAGTTATTAGTTTTCCACCTCCTAGTTAAAGAGCTTATTTTCAAAATGACGTATCTCCATTTTCGTTTATTTTCTAGGTTTACCTATTAACATATTCTGAAGTCGCATCTCGATCATGCTGAATAAAATATTGTTTTAAAATTATAGTGATCGGTATCCGAAAACCTTTGATCTTGAACTATAATGCAGAATGTGAACTCTTTTCTTTCCTGAAAAATTGATTCTTGGAGATGCATTGCTTTAGAAATTAGCCTTTCAAAGTTTTCACCTAATTTGCCGAGATATCTGTGCAAGGCATGTGCTCCCTCGCGGTTTTATTTGCTTCCTGATCCTCTTGGGAGTAAAATCGTGCCGAGTCACTTCCCAGACGGCCAACAAAAACTGTCCGGTGGGATTTCGCCGAAATCCGCACTTCCCGCCGCTTGTCCTATTGTGGATGACTTGGCATACGTAACGCTAAGAGGTGTTGCTTCACCTTTGAATACCGAAGAGGGGCGAGAATTTCTCTTTGATCACCACACGATTTTTTGTATCTGTTCATCAAGGGATATTCTAATTGCTATTGAATCCAAAAACGAATAATCAAATTTACCAATTCTGAAGTTCAGAGCAAACAAATTTGCAACTTTCATTAGTATTTGACACAGTGTGATAAATAATACGCTTCAATAGATACTATGGACCTCCGTCGATTGGACATCGAGATGGCACGAACACCCAGTGGAAAAAACGATATGAATAGAGTAAAAATTTTGTAAAATACTTTTCTTTAATGATTAATGCAGTAAACTTTATTAGTAATGTTTCTTTTTATTCTCGTGTAATCTTCGCAAATATCTCATATCTCATAGTCTCCACATTGCATGCAGTTTTTTCTTGTCTGTGTGATATAAACTTTTGCGATTGTCTTGTTCCGTTAAGTGCATACAATAAATAGTTTATTGTATTTTACTGTGCATTCACGTAGCGGTGGTTGTCAGGAAAATAGACGTGTTAGTGGGGGGGAGCAGTAGGTCGCTACATACATTTTTGCCTCCTGTTTGCATGTCATGTTTGCAAAGGTAGAGCAACGTTCGTGGCTCCATATTGAAGTGTTAGGAGGTCGGAGTAAACAAGAATATTTTAGGGACTGCGTGAAGCATTGTGATAAGAGTTGCAATACTCCGCAGTCGTGCGATAGGTTAAAGCGTTTAAATTAGACAAGTGATGATGTGAAGGATGCCCCCCGTACAAGACGACCCCACATGGAGAGCTCTTCCGCCACTGGCAATGGGAGATTCTGGAACATTCACCTTACTCACCCGATATGAGACCTTGTAATTATGATCTCTTCAGCAAAATGGAAAGAACCACTGCCAAGAATCCCGTACAATACCACAGATGAAATTATGCATGCTATATGTCGGTCAATATGGGACATCAACAGAAATAGACGCGTAGATGGTGTTAGACGCCTTCCTAACATTTGACAAAAGGTCATTAATAACAGAGGCGATTACATTAACGCTGAGCAAATTTAACTACCTCCGTCAATAAAGTTATTTCGGAGAAAATAATTTTCTCATTACTTTTTATCCAACCTTTGTATGTTAAGTGCTTGTACAAAAGTCTTGTTGAAAAACAACAACAAAAAATTAAGTTACAGAAGAAACCGCCCGTGAGTGGCTTCTTCCACTTCTTGTGTCTTGGACCCTCTCTTCTGCACGAGTGAGTATCTTATTCTGAAGGCGTGGTGAATTGCAAACAAAATGCTTCGAGGAACGTTACTGCATTATATTGGGAGGAAAGTCGTGATTTGATTTCCTTGCAAAATGCGCAATAAGAAAATTGAGAAACACTTTGTTCCGAAAAATCTGGAATTGGGAGGCTCAGCGAATGAAATCTACTCTGAACAAAATAGTGACACTAATTATGTCTATTCACTAATTATGTTTGAAATGTATGTGCTCTTAAATTAAAAAGTAATAGTTTCTTAAACATGGATTTTTTTTGTTCGCAGTACACCTTTCGACTGTTTTAATCGAATACACAAAATATATTTTTGCGTTTTTGCATTTTTACCGGTATAAAATAACGGAATATGTTGTGAAGATGACATGCTGAAAGTTCACACGTGGATTATGATGTGAAGTGGAGAAATAGGGTGTGGCGTAGCGGAGTTACTACGTGACGTCTTTGCCAACTCGCTGTTGTGTGACTTCTTGCGTGAGAATCTATTGTTGTTCCTTATTTTGCAATAGAGACGTGGATGTTTTTTCACAGTTAAATTATTTGCATTGTAAGACCACATGTTTAGGAAATCAACGAAAGTTTCTCACTGAAGTCGTACGATATTGGCTGTCGTTGCCTGTCTTGAAAAGGGTCGCGTTGTTGTGTTTTGTAATTGATTTTCGTTTGAGTCGCATTAACGGCGAGGTCATTAGCAACTGAAAAAAACGTCCCTTTTGTAATACATTTTTACATTATTGACTTGCCAGTTTAGAATTAACAATGGTGACAGTGTCGTTTTAAAAAAAAATGTAATTACGTATTGTTTCTAGAGAGAGCAAAGACGTATGTTGAGGTGTTATTAGTAATTTAATTTATGAATCTGGATGTGTAATGAATACAAATATTTTTTTCTAACAGACTGCTTTAATTACATTGCTGAAGGTAACTGCCAGTGCGCAAGCGATGTACATATCACTATTTTAAAAGAATCTCAAATTCCAAAAGAATATTTTCACAAAATTGATATAAACAAAAAATGAAGGGTTATATAATAGTTTATTTCTGCAATATTTGTTTATGTTCATTGATTTTGGTCATATACGAAAGGATTCATAGCAAGAGGATTAAAGAAAAATATACTGAACTTGAGGTATCAAATTTGTTAAAATTGATTAGTTAATGCTTTATTTTATGTGGCGAGAGTCGGGGCATTTTGCCCGCGCAAAGTTTGCTATGCTTCTTCCACCATGTAGCAGAGAAAGAAGATATAATCTTGGACGACGAAACAAATTTGCTTGTGATTTCTACCAGTAAAACGTTTATTTCACATCTTCATGTTCAAAAATCCACCGAATTGTCGAGTGCGCCTTTGTGTCATTTATATGGGAAAAATATAACTTGAGTGTAGCTAGTACCGTTCACTCGCGTGGTAACTGGCCCGCGTTATATCATGAGGTGAAGGGAAGCTAGTGTTGAGATACAGTTTCTGCATATCGCCCGTAGCCCGGTGGTGGGGAGCGCAGGTTTTCGAGGTCGCGAAGCTGTGTCGGTTCTTGTCTGGCGAGACGCCTGGTGAGGCACAGGCCACAAGCCCCAGGACCCCAGGGACTTGTGGAGAAGAAAAGTGAAGGAAAACAAAGACGGTGGTATTTCATTAACAGTGAATTTCCTGACGGCGACGTTCAGAAAGCTTACACGAGCTAAGCGTCTGACTCAGCTGATGCAATTCCCAACCAGTCTTAAATGTATGCGGGCTTTTGCCTTCTGTGTTCTCCGTTTTGAAACGGACTGTCTCGAGTTCGCCTGACGTCCCATTCCTAATATGTACGATTACTTGAGTGAATTGTGCTAGGAATCTCTCGGTAAAGGCTATAGGAATCTTGTGATTCCTTACGCGTTGCAAAACTGCTGGTGGCATGCTTTCCAGTTGGGAATACCGAAGACAGGTTTATACACATTGTAAAATCAGGTTGTTTTGGAAACTAAGCTTATATTTCTAGTTGCTTACCCTCGCAAGTTAAAGTTAATCATGTTACAGATAAAAGATATCAATAAAATGAGGGTTAAATGCAGAAATAGGATAATGAATCTAGGATATATCTCATTTTTGATACATTGATGTATTTAATTTGACGTCTTACGCGTTTCATATTACCGAGCGTGTTAGTCACCCTCGTCCTCCGACCCCGCGTGCAGCCAGTCCTCCTTGACGAGATCGGCGCCCTTCTCGCCGATCATGACGACGGCGGCGTTGATGTTGCCGGTGACGATGGCGGGCATGACGGAGGCGTCGACGACGCGTAGCCCGAGGACGCCGCGCACGCGCAGTCGCGGGTCCACGACGGCCGCCGCGTCGGAGGACGGGCCCATCTTGCAGGTGCCCACCGGGTGGTAGATGGTGGTGGCGAGGTGGCGCACGGCGCACGCCCAGTACTCGTCGCTGCCCGCGGGCTGCGCGGCGCAGGCCGGCACGCGCTCCTCGCTGGGCAGCACCTCGAAGCGGCGCAGCGCGCGGCTGCGGGCCATGCGCAGCGCGAACCGCACGCCCTCCACCAGCACGCGCACGTCGTCCGGGTGCGACAGGTACCTGCGCACGCGTGCTCCACGGTACTCCGGAAATGTGTGTTTACAATTATTAATTCGTGAAACTTCAGCTGTTTGGTAGGCCACAAAAAGTATTTCGAGGAAAAGTTATAGAAAAACACTGTATGGGCCTGCCAAGTTTTATAACATACCGTTTGGATTATTAAAAACGTAGGTGTTATTAAAAAAAATGTACAAAATTCTACGTAGTAATACTAAGAAATGTTGAATCTCAATTTTATTTAAGTTTTATTTTTTGTTCTTTATTAGAAAATTAACCAATGCATGCCTGTTGCACAATATGTAGTTCAGTAAATAATGTACTGATGATGAGACTGATGAGACGTTTTAATTACTGATACGATCTTTGAACTTAATTCATCATCATTTGAAGGAATAATTTGGGTCCCATTTATGACTCCCACATTATTACCAATTAGCCTTGCATACAAAATGATTTTACATTTTAAAGTTTAATGTTTAACTTACAGTTGTGTAAGAGTAATTATCGATTATGCGCCGAATATTACTTGTATGTGAGTTTTTATTCAATTTAAATTTATTTGGGAATGCGGAAAAACAGGTTACGCTCGTAGGTTGAAATAATTGAAATTAAATACCTGGGATCGATGACGGGTGGCTGCAAAGGGTCTTTGTTTCGCAGACGAATCGTTCCACGGCTCTTTGGACGTTGCAAGACTGCGAGTGGCATGTAGATCTCAGCTTTCGAGTTGGGAATACCGAAGACGGCTTTATACACTTCATCCGTAAATCCAGTGACTTCACTAACCCGCCGGGTGGCTTCTACGTCGTTGAAAGCGAAGCGAATATGTTGATATTGCACGTCCGGGTAGTCCGCCGATGGATCGGCGTATTTCGTGTTAATGAACCCTTGGAACTGGAGTATGTCCAGTCCCGCCAAGGGTCCGGTTCTGTGCAGGAGGTACTGGAAGGTGTCCTCCAATTCCTTTACGGGGTCCTTGCTTTGTGGATTGGAGCGGTTGAACATGAAAGTGGGCGTGAGCAGTTCCATGTGGTCTTGAAGGTTGTCGCCCACCGGGAGGTCACGCACGACGGGAATGTCGAGCTTTTCGAGGTGATCTTTGGGCCCTATTCCCGACAGCATGAGCAGCTGCGCCGAATTGACGGTCCCTGCCGAGAGAACCACCTCCTTATTTGCTTTGACCGTTCGGGAGGTGCCATTTTTAATGTATTCCACACCAACCGCTTGCTTCGTGTTTGCGTCAAAAAGTACCTTGGTGACGTGCGCGAATTTGGCCACGTGAAAATTGGGTCTGTCCCTGGCCGGCACCAGGAACGCCTTGGCGGAGCTGCACCGCGTCCCGTTGCGGATGGCGGCGTGCTGGAGGGTGAAGCCGGTCTGGTTGGCGCCGTTGACGTCGCCCACGCGGTACCCTAGCTCGCGGGCCGCGTCCAGCAGCGCGTCCACCAGAGGCGGCCGGTGGTCGGAGAGGTCCAGCGTGAGCGGGCCGCCCGTCGCATGGAAGCGCGCGCTGTACCCGTCCTCGCCCTCGCCGAGCACGGGCCGCCGCATGTCCTCGGACTTCTTGAAGTAAGGCAGCACGTCGTCGTAGCCCCAGCCCGGGTTGCCCATGCCGCGCCAGTTGTCGTAGTCGCGCCGGTTGCCGCGCACGTGCAGCATGGAGTTGAGCACGGAGGAGCCGCCCAGCACCTTGCCCCGCGGCCAGGCGCAGCGCCGGTCCCGCATCCCCAGGCAGCCGTGCTGCTGCGGCTCCGTCGCGTACGCCCAGTCGATGGCCGTGCCCTGCCGACACCCTTCGCTCTCTAAAACACTCGTTTCTGGAACTCACTGGCATTTTGTGAAATGAACTTCTTCAAATCTGAAACTCGACGGTTCAATCAAGACAAAGATGTCCCAATGGACTAAATAAAATAATCAATAAAAGAAAGAAGGAGAAACACAACTCTTTAAGTCGTAATGAAGAATGAATTTTACTGAAATGATTGAGGATAGAGAAGATATAAACTATAAAGTATATTAGAATATAATGTAATATTAAGAATTAATAGCCATACACATGAAGCAAGAAGAATTTTTCCCATCTTCAGTAGCTCTACGGAGAAGAAAAAAATCTGAACAAATATAATTAACATATGAAATGATATTAATTATTAATTAATTTTTATCATTTATTTTATTCTCTGTAGGGTTTCGAAGATGGGATAAGTTATTCCCGAAACACGTGTATGGCTATTAATTCTTCATATTACATTATATTGTAATATACTTTGTGGTTGATACTTCCACGATCCTTGATCATTATTGATTGCCAGAATATCTCTGCAGTCACCACAGATTTTTACTGAAATGTGTCTGAAAAGAAACGTTCGAACTAACAATTGAAGGTACAATGTGGATGTGAGACAATTTAGGTATTGAACAATTGTATTGGTTCAGAGGTTAACGGTAGAAAAGCATTTTTGATATAAGCTCGAATGATGAAGTGGGGTTGGTTGGCGTACCTGCAGACTGTGGAAAAGCGGCGGTATCTCGGAGGTGAGGGGCGGGTCGCCGCCGGCCTCCAGCAACAGCACGCTCCAGTGTGGCACCTCGGAGAGGCGCGCCGCCACCACGGCGCCCGCCGACCCGCCGCCCACCACCACGAAGTCGTAGGCGTCGAGGGGGCTCGCCACGTCCGGCGGGTAGGCGCCGGTGTCGCCCAGCAGCGCGCGGGCGTCCAGCACGGCCGCCAGCAGGCTGGCGATGAGCGCCCCGCCCAGGCCGCCGCCCGCGGCTCCGCCCGCACACGACGCCCCCGCCCCCGCGCCCCACGCGGAGTGCTCCCCGGTTGCGCAAAACGCGCCCTCCATCTGCGAAACAATCAACACCTGAGGGAATGTGGAAAACCTGCTCTTCGTGAACCAAGTTACGGAATGCAATGCGTCGTAAATGGAAAATGCGTTTGAATATTAAGATTTACCTTCACTTGAAAATAGTTTTGAGATTCTCCCATCCGCAAATATTGTTTTTCAGGTAACTTTTTGCGCTCATGCTTTTAATACAAATCATAAACAAAATAACAAAAATCGTAATATTACATTTAGTGAACGATATCGATGTCCACCATTGATCGATTGATTTTCATACATCAAGGCATTCTCGTACTCTACTTCTATTCGTAACGTGATGAATGGCAATTAGGAACAAGAGTGCACGCTAGCTAACACGAATGGTGAATGGGGGCAAATCATTGGCAATGATCTTCTGTTGGGGCTTTCTTTGTGACATTCTCGTAATGCTTCCTTATTATTATGACTAGAAAATAACTCTTCGCTGATGTATTGTTAAAAAATAAAAGCCGTTGTTAAAATGTAAATTCTGTTTTTCACGTCCTGAATTCACTTATGAGGATGATATAAGTTTACTTTCGGCACAATTCGTAAATTTTTAATAATTATATTTACAAATCATGTGTTCAGGTCTTCTAAAAGCAAACTAATTCCAAGTTCAACACCAGCAAGATATTGGTAAAAGTTGACCAAAAACAGTGTCACTAAATTTCATCTCCTAGCAAATGTGCTATGGAACACCAGTACCATACTCCAAACATGTTACTAACAAACACTACTTTAGTTTACGTTCGCATATCCCCTAATTCAGTAACTGGTGTTAGTGCTCTAACAGTTCGTTTATAATATTTATTTATTTATAATATTTATTTAATCATTATTCTACGCTTGTCCCGGCTGAGGCAATGCCCCACTAGAGGATGTACCTGGAGAGGAAAACCCAGCAAGAAGACGTGTAGGTTGGCGCAGGATCGCACGTTCTAGACAGAGAGAAACATCGTGACCTCGATATAGTTCGTGCATTACACATGCATAACTAATGACCTAAGTAGCTGATCGCTCGTAATGAATTCTCGCTCACTCATTCGTTACTATTATATTATACTACTACGTTAATATTTTGTGCTGTCGGGTGTTATTGGTTATTATCGGATCTCCCCCTAGTACAGTGTGTCTTGGACCCCGACCACTCACCTCACCTCACCTCGTGCGTGCCGTGCGCAGTGGCCGAGTGCAATGTCTCCAGAGGGGCGCGCGCCTTAAACGCGGAAACGAAGGGCGTGCCCCGCGTTCGACCCGATGACGGCCCCGACGCGCCTCATTGCCCGGCGTCTCTGCCAGCAATTAACTAGCCCGTCGCCCCGACACAGGATTCCGCGGCTGCGGAGATAATGAAGATTGATTCGAGTAATTAATTTTCATAATTGCTTCGTTGGAGACTGCGGCAGCGGCGGCAGAAAGAAGTCGCTGGTTCGAATCCGGCGTGAGGGCCGGTGTCACTTTCAAGGCTAAGCAGACATCATGTCACTTCAGTTCATTTAATTTCTGGATAAAATGATTCTGATTTTGAACAAAGCTTATTAGTTTGGATGTTTTAATTTATGTACTCCATGGTTTGGTAATTGTTCTGGTATCACCACATCAACATAATATATTGTGCATAAATACACCCGTTTTGTGCATCTTCAAAGATGTAAAAGATGATATATTATTACCTTAAATATCTCAATTATTATGTAGTTAACGGTAATATAACTAATTCTTGACGTGCCGTAATGGCGAGGGATAAAGAAATTGTGAGTGCAAAATGTTCTGTAATCGATATATTTCACTCATCAGAACATTTTAAAAATCGAAGTACTTGGGTAGATATAGTCATATGTCACGCATTACCAGTTGAGGAAATACAACATACATCCTTCAGAGTTTTGTTTGTGTGTCCGTAAGCATTACTTTTTTTATATCAAATCGTTTTTATATCATAAACCTAAGGACATGTTGTTTTAACGATTCCTTATAGTTATAAACGAGAATCTGACTCGCTTTCTCCTATTCAATTCCCCTTTCACGCGGGACTATGCTGCCGGGCACGTCAATTTATTAATGGTTGCTGAAAGCCTGAGATTTCAAGCAATTCTCATGTATCCACAAACATGAGGAGACCGTTTTTTCAGTGTAATTCACCTTTTTACATTAAAAAAGGTTGTGTATCAACAACTGATGCAGTTTCTCTAGCATTTTGTAATATGTCCTTTCTTTGTTTCAGGTGAGGTAGCTAGAGATTGCCGCACGACAAAACTATTTCCAGAATATTACTGAGCCACCATTGCAGGTAATAATGTTGCATTCGTTTTTAATTAAAAATTGATTAAGAACCGTCGACAGAAATCACTTTCGGTCATTTTCTTTCCAACCCCACGTATTTATACTATTTTGATAGTCGGAGGAATTACAGGTCTAATAACGTTTAATTTTGATTCTAAAAAACCAAACTTCTCTTAAAGGCTGTATGTTAGCAGTATTTATTAGTTTGCAATTTTCATTCTTAATCCTTTTCTTTGATTTTTACAATGCTCCGCTCGATATTTAGCATCAGAAAAAAATCAGTGATAAACGTCTTTCATATATACACGCACACTGACCCAATCTAATCAATATTACGTGTTCTGGGGAAATACTCTTGCACAGCGTGGAGCTTAGGACACGCATCATGATTCCAGATTTTTTGAAAGTGCGTCCCCGCGCCGTGCGCTGTTGCGTTTGCGTGCGACTAAGGGTTGCGCGGGCGGTCCAATTGCGGCTGCTTCTGTGGATTGCCTTTTTACTCGATCGGTTATTGCAAGGCGTTTTTCCTCTTTGTTTCTAAAATTTCGTCCTCTCTTACGTTTGACTAATAAACTGCGAGAAATTATTTTCTCACTGTTGTATGCAAAATACATCGAACATGCGCTGCAAGTAATTATCGTAATCTGGTTAGATGTATGTACATTATTCCATAGGCCTCGGCTTTATAATGTTTTCCTTTTCTCGATATTGTTAAGCTATTTTCGTATACTGTTAATAAAAACATTGAAGTAGTAACCAGTAACATTGAACGAAATAAATTATTTCAAAATATATTAGGATGGTATATGCAGAAACCTAAGTAACCCTGATCGGGACTTAATAATTTTGTAGAGACCATTACTATAATAAAGTGGAAAGTAAATGTAATTGTTAATATTATAATTTTGTTATGCTTTCAACTTTGACACTGGCTCTGTAAACTTCGGTTTAAATAGAGTGAGTTTTAACGTACGAGCAGCTGGACGCGGTTGTATAATCGGGGGTTTCGTTACGACTTAATTATTGTTAGTGAAGCTCCCGATTGGATACTAGCGTTCAGCTTATCGTACGTCAAATGACACTCTATTGAAATCGGTGGGGCGTCTTCTCCACTCCTGCCAGGGCCAGCCTTTCGGCACTTTCGGGGCGGCCGGGGCAGGGAGGGGGTAGCGGAGCGGGTAGGGAGAGCGTTGGTGACCCAGCCAGCGGCCGCTTTCCCCGAATTGCCGTTCCGGGCTCTGGCACAGCAAAAACGCGCCCCTCCCCCGTCGGCACTTTCTATACTTGGCGCAGAATTAGTTAGGTCCTCCCGCCACAATTGCTATGCCAGAGACCGGGCGTGCCGAACATTCTACAAATTTTATGATAGTTTTTTCCTGTGAATAAAAGACGTATGGTTATGATAGAAGGGGAAGATATCTAGGAGAAAGTCGTCCACTACTCTTAGAGCACATTGGCAGGGAACATTAATGTGAAGGCTAAAATGCAGTATCTGTGTTATAGATCAGGGGTGTCCGACTTGCAAGGCCTCAGTAGCCTGAACTAAAACTTCTACGGATGAGAGCCAGGTTTTCTTTACTCGCGCGATCCACACCTGACTTTCCCATATTGTTGATCTCGGCTCATTGCCCGGCTGCTCTGAAACAACGGAGAGGGGAATGGAACCATGAGTGATATAAGGCGTTGCGTGCATAACGCGGTGAAACACATTGCGATGATTTCGAATTTCTAAATTACCAGAAAAAAATTCTTTAAGCTAGGGAGAAAACTATGTTTTCTCGATATGGATGCAACGGACTTCAACATTTGACTGAAAACCTTTCGAGGGCCATAATAAACGGCAACGCGTGTCACCAGTTTGACAACCCTGGTATAGATCGTAATATTTTCAATTCATTAATTTAAAAGGGGTTCAGGGTCTCACTTCTTGGCCAATTGATGATCCCATAAAATTAACACGCCTAACCGCAGTTGCGGCCATTCCACAGAAGGTTGGTCGTCTCTTCTTTGAACGGCTGCGGTTCGACAAGTGGCTGGACTTCAATGGCGATGCGTACCGTGACGTTTCCGGTTCAGAGGAAGGTATTGATGCAGAAAATTAAAAGACACCGACCTAATTTGTAATGGGAGACGGACAAGTGAACAAGTTGCAATTCCGATTTTCTTACAGTGTTGTCCAACAGTTAGTTTACCAAAATATTTATGTCCTTTTAGTTTGATGAGAGTTCACTATGACTTGCTATCCTTTTGACAATACCAACACGCAATAGTATTATATAAATCAATAAAGTGAGCTTTTACTTATGAAAGTTTTAAGAAAATATTTGCAATTTGTCAATATTATTTTATTTAAAAAACAACTAAATGGATAATAATACGGATTGCCCTCCCATATCACGGAGTGTATAAATGAGCACTACTACTGATGAACACTTATTAACTTGGCATTGGTTAACCCGTAGGATCCAATTCAGTCATGTAAGTTTCCTAGATACAAGAAAGTATTTTCTCAGATACAAACCTCTTCTCAGAAAAAAACTGAGATTGTATTTTTCATTACAATCTGTCTTTGATCATCGTGACAACTAATCGGATATATGTAGTTACGGATGTACCTGCGTTGTTGCTGTCAGGAAGGATACCTGGATGAACTAGGTATGCCGAAACTTTTCCACCTAATCGTTTGAATCCGTTTTACTTTTACTGCACTCCACACCGCACTCTTAATTATATTTTATGTGTTGCATTGCCTATTGAGTAAATATTTGCCTTTGAAAAATGAATGAATTCATATAATATTTTTGAAAATAAAGAATTCAAGTGGTGACAGACGTCAACGGCAGATGCAAGTGTGTAGCGGTGTGTCACGGACTGCGACTAGGCGAATTCACATGCAAAGAACAGTATCTCCATCTTTTGTTCAACCTGTGTGATTTAACATCTGATTTCGAGCTTCAGAAACTTAGTCAAATGAAGCAAATAACCATAAATACTCGTTTTCCATTTCTGTGAACGTAAAGGTAATATCCGGAGTATAGCTTGCATAACGCCTTATGTCCGCTTTTTCGCTGACTTGATCATGACAATCGCATAGCATAGCACTTTGCATAGAATGCGTAGAGTACGGTACCTGTACGATCGCTTGCAGTCGGCGCCTCCCAACACGTTACGCCCCTCCGCTGCCCAACAACTTGTTGCAGCGTCGGGCGCCGCTTCGATTATCGCGCGTCCCTTGTTTCTCTCCTCGTTGTGACGCGCGGCCCCTGATACGGGGGCTGCCTCTTCGATTGCCAGGCCAAGGTCTTCATCACGATGACCAACGTCTACGCCGACATTCTGTGTTTAACATTTGCGGTCACAAATTTCAGCTTAGCGTGTAAACTGTGAACGTAGTAGGAAATTATGTTCCATTAGCAGTATTGGTGTTTCTGTTTCTGGAGATTTGCGAAGTATTTAGTAGCTTTGAAAAGTACCTGTTCTTCAAGCGATGTTGCTTAGTAATTTCTTTTTTCCGTCTTTGAGTGTTTTTTTTTATTTTTATTTTATTTTATTTTTTTTATTTTTTTATTATTATTTTTTTTTTTATTTTTTAATTACGTGCTTCGCTTCCTTTTGTTTGTTTCTTCTGAAGCATTGAATTTTCGTTCACAGCATGCAACTGAATTTTCGTTCACAGTCAAAATTTAAAATTGTTATTTTTGAAGAAAAAAAAGTACACACATGTGATAATTTCCTTGTGTAGTAGCACCCGCTATGACGTCATACGTGTTGCGCCTGCTGCTGCCCGCGCTAGTTCCTGCCACAGCCCCCGCCAGCAGCGATTGACGAGGCGACGTGTGCTCCCTGTGATCCGACCAACACGTCTGGCCGTTCTGCGCTCCCACCCCCCCCCCTCCCCCGAACTTTTCCCTCCCACCCACCCTCCACCCCACCACCACGGCTCGCCCAGGCTCGCATCTATTTCCGCTCACTCGATTATCGCTTCGCGCCGCGCGCGCCCGTTCGACCGAGCGTCCGCCCTGCGAGGCAAGCGCCCCACCGCGCTCCCCCGGCGCGGCGGCTGTGAGGCGGATACGCCACCGCGCTTTCCAAAGCAATGGCGCTATGTATAGACACCCGAGCTGTGTGCGTCAGAAGCGCCACCCCCCGCCCGGCCCCGGCGCAGAACGAACTCTTGTCTCGGTGAATGGCGTTTGGAATATTCACGCCCCCCCTTGTAGACTCAGCTTATTTGGACGTGTATTTTCATCCGCGTCGCGAACAGTAGTGCCTCTTTGCGTCCAACGCGGAATTTGGAATTTAAAGGCAAGCGGTGTTCATTCGTGTCAGATGGGCCAAAGAGATTCTTGAACAATATACCTGTTTTATTTTATGGCACAAAGCGACCTTACAAAAGAAGTCTTCATTCCTAATTCGTCTCTGGCATCAGCTTTTTACGTTGCCTGAAGGTAACAAAGCAAATTTGTAATTTAAAAGTTATAACCTACTTCCATATTAAATTCGATTTTAAATGTAATAACCTACACATTATAAATGTAAACTCTTATAAGTTTTGTTATGTTTTAGACTACGGAATTCGTAAGCAAGTTATCAGGTATATATAAACATAAACGTGAATTTTGTATTAATTGTGAAAAAGTCTACTAATTTTTTCACATGTCTACACACAACAGAAAAGTTTTTCCCTTCACAACCAGTCTTTCAAGTCCTTGAGCTCTGATGAAACCTCAGAAACAGCCACTAAAGATCGTTTCACTTTTCTTAATTGTTTAATTTCTTCGGTCCCATTCTTGTCTAAGCGTTCGCGGAGACAACCTGTTGCCAAGTGAATTTGCCGACGTTTGTAATCAAGCATTTGCCGAAGTACGTACGATTTCACCAAACACAATATAAAACAAGGTTAGAGCAAACGGCGACGCTAAAAAAGCGCTGACAATCGTGAATTTGTATATAATTACTCTCAATGTTCGTTTATCAAGCTAACGAAATTATTGCATGAGTAAATTACGTTGTCTTGCCAAAAAAATCCATATTATAGTGTCTTATAAGTGCAGAATTCGACCGTCAATTGACTCCTCCATTGCGACAATTGAAGAGAAAGAAATTGCGCTCGAAATTGTAAAGATAGATACGTTTTTCCATATACTCTCTACACTGACGATTAGGGCACAAGCGTGTCTTGGTGGCGGCGAGGTAAATCACTTGCGTCATGTTATTGAAGTGCATTCGTGGGACGAAGTGTGTGAAAATATGTGGTCCTACAAAATGTCAACGTGGTGACATTGCAACTCTCAGAAGCAGGCACCGGTGATTGGTTAATTCAGTTACAGCAAGAGAGCGCAATTCATTGCTGAAATTAGTTTTACAGCCCTGGTCTGTGTAATTTAGAGAGAGAGAAATGTAATAAAAATCTTTTTATAGTAAAGAAATGTTCAAGATATATATTCTTGATGCCGGTTTGTTAAAATATTTTTTACAATGTCTTGTTTCTTCATCCTGTGTTAATAATTATCTGCGATGCTAATCGCTGCTTCAGGAGTTGTCCTATTTCAAGTTGTCAAGGAGGCAAACTGAAGGATCTGACTCTGATTTTTCCGAATTATGGTTTCACTTAATTTTTAAGGGCTTGTAAAATAATATTTTTTTAGTAATTTTTGAAGTAATTTATGTAGTAATACATTTTCAACATTTCTTTAGGCATTATTAGAACTTTAGGACCATGTTGTTATCACCATGATAACAAAAGATTTACAGTATGGTACCTTCTTCTCCCTTCAAATCTGCCCGTATCCTTGGTGCATCGGAGCGAAACAAGGCCAATGAAGCACTGTCCTAAATGAGAGGGCGTGTATGCGACGCCTCGTGTGGCGGGGCCCCTGTCGCGCAGCCGTCAGACGCAGCAGCTGCGCGCTCCGGAGTAACGGGCGCGGATGTGGGACGCGTCGCCGTCACCGCCGCCGTCCGCAAAGCGGGAGGTCGCCGCTCAATGCCCAGCGCGGAAGGCAGAACTCGTGCCTCTCTTCTTCTGACGGTTTTCAGCAAAAATGTCTTTAGAATTTCCGCTGTGGCGCTGCAGCTCGTGCTCTTTGCACGGGTGGCACTCCCGTGAAGGCTTTTTTAAAAAATAGGCAATCGGTAGATACATATTCATTCATAAAAATTAATTTAAGTTTATTCCTAAAAATTGGTATATTTATAGTTTGGCGAGCAAATCGTTATTATTATGTTATTATTATTATTTTATTATTATTTTATTATTATTTTATTATTATTATTTTATTATTATTATTTTATTATTATTATTTTATTATTATTATTTTATTATTATTATTTTATTATTATTATTTTATTATTATTATTTTATTATTATTATTTTATTATTATTATTATTTTATTATTATTATTATTATTATTATTATTATTATTATTATTAAATCTTAACGTCGGAGTCGACATGTAATTGCCTTCATTATTCCTCATGTTCCGAACAGCTTGTATTCTTGAAGTGAAAAATGTTAGTGAATGCTGCATGTGGTTCACGACGTATCAGCATCAACCCTGTTCTGTGAAAATTTTGAATTCGAATTCGAAATTTTTTCATTGTATTTTACAATAAGGATCGGATCCAGAGACAAATTTTGGGAGGCTAAATTAAAAATGTTATGTTCGAATTACAGATTTCGTAAAACGTCGCAGGCTACACTTAGCTCATGCTGCGTTAAGATTTTATTCGTTTTAATGATAATCCGAAATTTATTTTTAAGTTTTAAGACAATTAAAATTTATAGTTACTGAAACATTTTACGAGGGGGGGGGATTCCCTTATCCTTGGACCCGCGCCTGTTGCAATTAGCTACTTAGAAAGTAATATATTTAACAATGGGTTGACATTCTGACGGAATCGGTACGAATTATTTTCCAATCGAGACCGACGATCCATATTTTGTTTTCTTTTTTCTCATTTCCTGAAAGGCAAAAAGAACGTCCTGACAAACAAAGCAAGAGTTTCTAAAATCATCACTTTAAAAAATGTATGCATCTTGTTAAAATTTATGAACTGAGTGTCAATTTCATTCTTACAGGAAACTAATTAAAAGTTATTTTAACTAAAATAATATGAAATCATGTAATATAACTTTCTTTTTTAAAAACATTGTTCCACAAGATTCCTTGAGATACCTCAGAATTTCGTTAGCATGAGTACTTATCGATCATGTGTGCATAATCTCCCAAGCGACAATGATGTTCTGTATGAATGACGCGGCTTCAAGATATTTTAATAACTGCATTTTTAATCTTAAGTCCACTGGAGATTTGAAAGGAAGATGCAGATAGGTTTTGAATAATTTATTCATTTTTGAATTTACATCTGGGGAATGAGTGAGATTATCATGTGCATTTGGAACGCCAATTTATCATTTGGAATGTCCAATAATATTAGATACAACGAAAATGTTAAGCATTTTTGGTCAGAAACTTCGAAAACCGCACATAAATGCATAACTGAGTATCATAGTTTGTGCTTTAAGTATATAATTCATTAATTGAAGTAATAACGGAAAGTCACATTATTACGAGTATCTATTTTCAGGATGTTATGGAAATTACGGTGACCCGAATACTCATTTGCGTTTGTCAAATATGTGTGATAGGTCATGTCGCACTGTTATGTCAATTTTGCAAATTTTGTAGTTAATTTTTTATAATTTTGGATCTCAAACTAAAAGACAGGTTTGTACCTATTTTCATGTTCTGTTACACACCAGATTTAGTTCCCGAGTCAAGTCAAAATATTGTTTCTAGGACGGTGAACTGGAACCTCATCCGTCTGGAAAGTTGCGATACGAAGTCTTCTTTCTGTGCTTACAACTAAAGACTAGGCGTACTAGAAGACGGTTGCGCTGTGTTAATGTCGTCTCTTCAATGTTGCTTCTGCAGCTCACAATTCCGACACATTCATCTATCGAACTAATTAAAAATGTAGACACACGCATGTTTCAAAATTACACCATTGCTCACACAGCTTGACACACTACTACGTGCTAATGACTAACAACCTTTCACTCGTGCCATTTGCCTGGAGACACACTCAAATCTTTTCACGACACTGGCTGTAAGTCACTGTTAGATATTGGCCTATCGCTTGAGGTTACGAGTCTACTCTAATAGTGTTCACCACAAACTACTGCTCTCTGCTGATCAAGTTGCTTCCCCGTTTGGCGGACGGTCGAGGCTCCTCACGCAGCCTCGGGCGCCTCCCACTCGCGCTTGATCATGTCGGCGGCTTTCTCTGCGATCATGATGACGGCGGCGTTGGTGTTGCCGCTGGGGATCTCGGGCATGACGGACGCGTCCACCACGCGCAGCCCCTTGAGGCCGTGCACGCGCAGTTCGGGGTCGACGACGGCGCGCGGGTCGGTGGCCGGCCCCATGCGGCACGTGCCCACCGGGTGGTAGATGGAGTTGGTGAGGTGGCGCAGGGCGCAGCGCCAGTACTCGTCCGTGTCGAAACGCGCGTCGGGGCAGCCCGCGTACTGCGCCGGCAGCAGCTGCGCCTCCAGCAGCTTCATCGCCTTGGTACCGCCCACCATCTTGACGAACTCGATGCCGTCCAGCATCACCTCGACGTCGTCCTCGTGGGTGAGGTAGCCCGACACGATGCGCGGCGGGTCGAGCGGGTCGGCGCTGCGCAGCAGGATCTCCCCGCGGCTCTTGGGGTGCAGCAGGGTCGGCACGATCCACAGCAGGTCGGACTGCGCACTCGCCTGGTAGAGGGCGCGCGTCACGTCGGGCATGAACTCCGCCGAGGAGGCCATACCGCTCAGCAAGACGGTGTTGTTGGCGTTCACGAAAACGTGGTGGAGTTGCAGGTTGGGGACGTGAGTCTTGTCAGCCGGCTCGCGAGTGTTGATGAAGCCGACGAGGTCGGTGATGCCGATGTTGGTGAACATGCCTGTTCGGCGAGTTAGGAACTCGTACAAGCCGTCGAGGGCGGTGAGCGGGGGTATGGGACGAGGCTTGGATCGGTTGACGGAGAAGGCCGCGCCCATGAATACGGGGTGGTCCTGCAGGTTCTTGCCAACGGGCAGGTCGTGCACGATGGTGTCGACGCCCACGTTCTCCAGGTGCTCCCGGGGCCCCACGCCCGACAGCATGAGCAGCTGCGGCGAGTTGACGGAGCCGGCCGCCAGCACGACCTCGTGCGTGGCCTTGACGTCGCGCACGTCGCCGCCCTTGATGAAGCGCACGCCCGTCGCCGTCTTGGTGACCGGGTCGATGAGCACCTTGGTGACGAGCCCGAACTTGACGACGTGCAGGTTGGCGCGGTCGCGCACGGGTGACAGGAAGGCCCTGGCGGTGCTGAGGCGCACGCCCCCGCGCACGGTGGCCGGCGCCTCGCCGACGCCAATGGGCGACGCCGCGTTCACGTCCTGCAGCGGCGGGTAGCCCGCCTCCTCGTAGGCTGCCAGCAGCACGTCCTGCCGGAAGATATACTCTTATTAAATTTATTTTATTTTCGTATTGTCATGCAGATCACATTCACAGTGCATAATGCATTAGAAAAAAGCTTTTTGCATTATTGAAAAGAAAAAAAAAACTGTGGTGGAACTACTTCTAGATTTATATTGATGAATATATCATAATCCCTCGACCACAATTGGAATATGAGGTAATCTTTTTGGGAATTGTTCATTTTCTTCATACAGAATAAATTATTTATTTAATACCTCTTTGGATTAAACATACGAATTATTTGTTGATTATGCATTAAGCAGAATTTACTCGTAACGATTATTTAATATTCAAGTGTATTGTTATTTAAATAATGTTTTAAGTAATATTACTCTTGATTTTTTATGTGAGGACATATGATTGGGTTGTCTGTGGTATACCCAGAGGGGAAGGGGGCGGCTCAAGGGAATTCAACCACACCTAGAAGCCAAATATACCTATTCAAAAATATAGCTTTTACTATTTTTTCTATAATAATGAAAGTGATTCAATGTATCTATTGTTAATATTGCAAATATTAGATACGAATCGACAAATAAAAATAAACGTTTTTTGTAAGAGCATCAAGTCGGCTATACACGTAGTGTGACACTGTCTGTAGCCCCTTCGCCAAAAAAATTCTAGGTGCGCTTTTGGATAATGCAATTTTATGAAAAGAGATTCTGGAGGAAATGAAGGTAGGGCCTAGCAGCGCAAGCGTTCCCAGAGGCGCCGGGACGTCGTTCAGCAGTCGCGCACCTTGAGCGGGCGCAGGTGCTCCTGGGAGCCGAAGGGCTCAACGCGCAGCGGCCCGCCTCGCCCATGCAGGCGCGCGTCCTCGCTCGGGGAGTCCTCGGACTTCTTGAAGTAGGGCAGCACCTCTTCGTAGCTCCAGCCCGGGTTGCCCAGCTGCGCCCAGCGGTCGTAGTCCGCGCGGTTGCCGCGCACGTACAGCATGGCGTTGATGGCGCTGGAGCCGCCCAGCACCCTGCCTCGCGGCCAGTTGCAGCGACCCTCCAAGTAGCCCTGCGACAAACATTGTTCATTCAGCGACATAATTCTTTTCATTTGAGATTCGTGTATATGAAGGGTTCGTTAACGGAAATTTTTATATTTGAAGCTTTGAAATTGACAAAGACCGAAGCCACATGAACGAAATTTTGGAGGAAAACAAAAACAAAGTTAATAGAAGACAGTACGGCATACGTTAGAATGAGAAGACTCACAAGATGCAGTGATAGTTATTGCCATAATTTTGACATACTCAAAATATTACATGCAGGTGAGCTGTTATATGCAATTTATGATGGAAATATTTTTAAAAAATATTATTTTATTCAGTAATGTGGGTTAGGTGTGTATTATTCTAAACGTTTCGTTTTTCACCGACAATTTGGTACCTTATTGGTGATTCATCTTGTAGTACTTTGTAGATTATATATCACTTTGTGATCTGGGCTGTCCGGGTGACCGCGACATGTCGGTCGAAACGTCGGCACATCAGCCATCGACGCGGCGTCACCCGGACAGTCCAGATCATGACTCTGGCCGCGGAAGCCTACGACATCATATCACTCTGTGTTTGGAAATATTTCGTAGTTGAAGCATTATATTTGAATCGTCACAAAGCGTGTAGTCTGATCATGTACTGTATGGAAAGAATGTGCACCGCTGTGTTTTGGCGAGAGAGGCTGACCTGGCAAGCCGCCCCATTGGGCTCCGTCTTGTACTTCCAGTCGATCTCCGTCTGGTGCGTGTTGAAGACCAGCGCGGGGACCTCGCTGGTGAGGCTGGGGTCCCCGCCCGACTCGACGAGCAGCACGGTCCAGTCGGGGTTCTCGGTGAGGCGGTGGGCGAGCACGGCGCCGGCCGAACCGCCGCCCACTATGACGAAGTCGTAGGCCGGCAACACGTCTGCGGCCGCCACGTCGGGCGGGAAGGCGGCCGGGTCGGCGAGCGCGCACTGCGCCGCCAGCAGCGTCTGCACCAGGTTGCCGAAGAGCGCGCCCCCTGCGCCGCCCACCAGCCCCGGGCACGGCCCCGCCCCCAGCGCGCCAGCGCCCGGCCCCGCCCCCACGCTCGCGCCGCCCGCGGCCTCCATCTCGGCTGCAGCTGCTGCAAGGAGAAGAAAGCGAAGCGTTAGCACACGTTAAACCAAACGGTTCAATGATACAAATAAAATGTCTCTAACACTTAACTACGAGTCGAACCGCGAGTTGGCCGGACGGTTTTGGCAAAATATTTTTGTTAATTTCTCTTCAATAATGGTTTGTTGTTTGAATCTCGCAGCATATTGTAAACATTCCAATATATCATGAACTACCTTGTTTTTTTTCAATTCACAACCCTGTATATTGCTATCATGTTTTTATCCTTGTACATTTTTTACGATTCCAGACTTAATAGGATAAATCTTTTTACATGAATACAAAAGCGGAATTTATTTTTAACTTCGAATGTCAAGATATCGAGACGCCTTTTTCCGTTAGAAACTCGTGAATCTTACTGTTACCGTACGTGGTACGAGTAAGCGCTCAGGTAGGCAGGTAGACGGAGTGCAGAGCCGATGGCGCGAGTGGTTTCTGGGGAGGGGCGCGCGCTGCTTATCGTTGGCTGTCACCACAGAGTTATGGCACGCGCGATAGCGGCCCTCTCTCCTGCCTCTTCCCTATTGTGTCATCTAGCCTGTCACCATACGGGGCTTCACCTCACACTTCCTTTCTTTTCCTCGCGGCTTGGTCCTGGTTTTTGCTCTCTCGTTCAACCCCTGCTCATTTGCTACATCCGCACTGCACGTGAACTGGGCTTCTTTTTCGAGTAGTGGCAGTTGTCCGAAAATCCTTAGGTTTAGAAATAGTACGAATTACGGAAGTGTCCTTTTTACAGAGCGCTTTTACACACTTTCCCTTTTCATACGACTTCCAGTTTTCCTTTTCCCCCGAGGGAAACGGTGTTTTGAGTCCACCGCTGTAGTGGTCGTAACTGTGGCGCCGACGCTACCGAGAGCGACCCATTGCTCGTAATTCCCTGTCTGCTGGAGCGTCCCAGCGGATGCGGCGTGCAGCTCTAACGCTGTCGCTAACGAGGCCAGCGGGACTCCGCCCCTCCCCTTCCCCGTTCCCTCCGCGCCCAGCCCCTCGCGTGCTGCTGCGTCGCCATTCCACAACATGTTATTCTCCAGTTCGCTTCTCAGGGTCGTGGGGTATAGGCTAGAGGCGGCTCGGGAGGACGGAACAAGTGAAATCGACCGAACCCTCTCCCACGTTCAATGCTTGTTCGCTCAATCTGCATTTATGTTTAATGCAAGACGTGTCTTGATGATCTCAGGTTTGCAAAGTTTTATATCAGTCGCGATGCGTTAATCGGTGAGAATCGTAGGGATCTCACTGATGAAAACCATTTGCTGGTTTATTTTGTTTTCAGAACACGTAGTGCGGTGATTGCTATTGTATTTCTGCGATTATTAGCGCATGTGCATCATAAATGACGTTAAAGTCCGAGAACACAAGACTTCGTAACCACCACTTTTCCGCCTTGTCTGGTGACAACGAATTTCTTCTGTTCTAAACGTTGCCTTAATTTTCTCTGGGATTTGACACTTTGACACAATTAAGTGTGTCGTAAATAGGCTTGAAGCAAAACGTGCTCTATTCTTGTGCATTGCAACATTCTGGTTAATTGCAAGCATGAAAACTTGTTTTTTGTAAGAATGACGCGTGTGAATATTTCTTCGGGAGTTCTGGAAGCTCGCTGGGCTATGTGGTAATAGCATTTGACTTAAACGAAACGTATCTTAAACACTTACACAATTTCCGGGTATCACGATGCATTTATTTCTAGTTTTCTGATTTCCTTATAAATATATTATAATTACTTACTCTTGATTACGTTCTTTGACATAAAGACGTTTCCGAAAATACAATAGTTTACTTGTTAGGATTACTCGCGGGATTTTCCCGAAAAACCTTTTTCAAGCAGTAGATTTTAAATAATAGATTGAGTTATGAGTTACGAGTGGCTGCTTTCTGTTTTTCTTTCAACGGTAACTTTCCAAACACGGTAGTCTTGGTAGAGGTCCTTGCGTTCTTCCCAGTGCTCGTTCGGTAGAGGGTGGGACGGGGGCGGGGCGTGGAAGAAAGGAACGCAACCCGCTGGCCTTGGCGGAAACAAGAGACACCGCTTATCGTACTTCCGCTGGGCGTTGTTCGAAGACAAGTTCCCAGAGTTCGCTTGTCGAAGAACAGTGCCGAACTAGGTGCACACATTTTCACAAATCGAAAAATAGCGACATGCGTAAGTCTTTCAAAAAAGAGACGCCTTCCCTCGAGTTAGAATTCGAAATTCAGTCGCGATCTTCCAAATTTGAAGCATTTCGTAGGAGTGCACATTTTCTACGAAGAATATATTGGACGTAATCTAAACAGACAATTTGTACATTTTTAAATCCATGTCTGCCATTTAAGTGTCAATATCTTGAAATCCGTAAATGTTAAAATCCCCATTTATACAATTAATATACAATTAACACTGAAGCAGGTTCGGCATACATACCTGAATTTAAAAAAAAATCGGTAGCATGTTTAAGTCCTGAAAATAATAGAAAAGAAATACTCACTGTTCGGAACGTCCAATGTATTAGAAATGTCTTTTAGTAACGTGGTGTTCACTTGGGCAGATTTTCATAGGAACTGACGATCGTAGTAATGATGATTTACCGTACAAACATAGTTTTTGGAGTCTTCGGCGTGGTGTGAATTATTTATACATGCTACATATGTGAAAGGGGAAATACATTTTTATTGGACGTCGAAAAAAGTATTTCCTGTTTTAACGATAAGCATATCAAATGCATTTCCGTTGTCGCAACCCATCGTTGTTCTCTGATAATGCAAAATTTGTATTATCAAAGTATTACACAAATTCATTTGAATGCCACGCACCGCCCATTACAGTACTATTTAATCAATTGTTTTAGAATGAAATTCTGTCCCAACGTATTTTCTTGTAAGTGGCTTTCAAGATTTTAATATTTTTTTTTTATAAAGAGGAAGTATGCTTAGTAATACCAATTGATTAGAAATACTTACGTAGGAAATGCATTTAAAATGAGTGCGTACTTATCATATTGAACTAATAAAACTTCACTATTTAAATATGGAGCCATAAAGCTATCATATCGCATTGTCAGTGTGCGCCAAGCAGGTCGCGGAATGCGTCGCTGCGATTCCAATTGTCATTTTTGAAGGCGAGGCATCCAAATTGTGCACAACACCCGCAGAAGGACCTTGGCGCATGGCTTTTTAGCAGTAGTCAGTGGCTGCTTTGCTCGATACACGTTCAAAGGTTGTAAGCGACCAAATATTGTAGTTATTTGCAAGCGCTTTTAGAATCAGATGCAGCTTCCAAACGCGTACGCTCAGGAGTTTAAAATGGGATATTATGCCTCTAGTTTATATGGTTAAGCTTTACTCCATAAGTGTGTGTTTTAAAACCGATGAATGTGAGAAGCGAGTTTTAAGACTTGTACGGATGCAATAAAGCAACATTGTAAACGAATTGCTTGCATTATTATTTTGTAATTAAGAGCATTATAAATGTGAAAGGTAATACAAATTATTTTTAGACACAATTATTTTATTTGACAATTGTGTGAAGAAACCGTGGGTACCTGTGATACTTACCGCTACACCTCACGATTACGCCATTAATACGCGCCATAAAATCATTTTATGAACGGATTTCTTGCAACGAAAAAGGTAGGTGTCTGTGTTGTGGCTCAAAAAACTTTTTTTTTATTTTGTTTCAGTCTTTAAGTTTATAATTTTAAAGAACTTCTGTTGTAAATGACTTTGGCCCACGCTTTCCAAATTGAATAATAAAATAATTGAAACAAATCTCTCCGATTCATGCCGACTCTTCCAAGTAACTAAGAAGATAAGGTATAGTTATACATTTTTACCGTCCTTCGAGAATGAATTTAAATGTTTCCTCAATGAATATTTAAGAAGCACGAAATGGGACCATTGAGGTAGCATTTGAAGAACGCACGAGACCTTTGGCGAGGCGATTGACAGACGTGTCATTCTGCTCCTCTGTCCGGTTGGTTGCACCCCACTGTCAGCCGCCTAGCGTTGGCAGCACCTACAGTCACCGGTTGCGACTCAGAGTGCATCCTACGCGCGCACCTTGTATGCGATGAGTCAACGAATAATTTGCGCGGAGAGAAAAAAACGACAAGAATGTGGACGGACTCGTGAATATGCTGAATCGGCTGTTGTGCCTCAGTTGCAACATCCATTGCCTCTACAGTATTACCAAGATGTTTGTGGATTTCAGTTTCGATGGAGGTCTTTTTCGACTCTAGCGACATAGCTGGGTCGAATTCAACCACAGTCTGGTGGAAAATTCTAGCGGGTGGCTGCTCAGTTAAGTGGTGTTTCTGTGTATGTGAGGCGGTGTTTTTTTTTTAATCAATACAACACGAATGCCGGAGTTGCACTCAAAAGAAATATGCCACGGACCCCTCACGATCCTCCTTTCTCGTCTTTGTCCTCCTTGCCCCTCCTCACTCCTTGCGAACGCACTCGCACACACACACACACACACACACGTTTACGCCCTACACTATCATACATGTCAGAGATCGGTCGAGAAGTTTGAGTTGTGCCGGCTTGGGCGGTGCCAGTTCCAGGAGGCGGGAAACCCCGCTATCCGACCTGTAGGTCGGCCTTATATCTCATGTTTGATTCTCATGTTATGACGTAAGAAATGCCGCTTTTCCCGCGATACATGCCTCACACTCACGACACTAATTGTAATTGACGATTGTAGTAGACGCTGCCGAAAACGCTACTTACGAATTCACCCACTCGTGAATATGCTGCGGGAGACCCAGCGTCTTGGTATTCGTAGTTCTGGAATGACGGAAAAAGAATGTATACTGTTGACAAAAATGTGGAAGATGAGTCCTCCAGCCTCCGTTATCTTTGTTGTGGCCACGGACCTGCGATGAGAGCGCCGAGGCGTGGGGCAGCGCGGCGCGGCGCCGCGACGTTGACGTCACCAGCGCCGCCTGCGCTTGCTGGACTTCTCGCGGCGTTGCACGACCTCCTCCG